GCCCTTTCCCTTTGTTTTTTGTAGGTCCAAGATGTAGAGGGCCAGATTTCAAAAACACATAAGCCACTATTAGAAATATTTTAGGGTAGTTAACAATATAGTGGAATGGCTGCATGGTAGTAATAACTTCTTTAAACTTAACAAGAGTTCCACAATCAATCTTTATAACTATATACTTTTACTTTTTTCCTTACTAATATAAACCTGGCCAGATAGCATTCAGATACTGTCTTCCTGCCTATACTTACTTGAAACAAATCTCTCTGGGTCCAGTTAAACTACTTCAGATAATAATACTTAATACATTCCTACTGGAACCATTGAGTACAACAGGATGTATCTTATCTGTCATAGTTAAGATTTATTATGTTTAACGCATAACTTAAGCAGCTAATTCTCAGACTTTCAAAAAATTATATAACAGCTCTGCTGGGGATGGGGATCGAGATTTATTAGAATAATTTTTATGGCAGGGAGTGCTTTTTTAAAAAACACAGTTTTTCTGCTTTTTCTCAGTGCTGGGAAAAGCATTGTCTGAATTTCTGATTGTTCTGCAGTTATTAGTTATAAACTTTAAAAAAATATCAGCCTTATTTAGTAAAATAAGCACTCACTACAGAAGCAGCTTCAGCTATATGCGCCTCTTAGATCTGAGAATTAGTAAAGTTGGTTTCTGCTAAATCAAATTGTTTTTGACACTTTCTAAACCATGCTCAGTTGGGTTGACCCAGACTCAAGACACACATAATCCCTAGATCCTACACAGGTGGTTTCTTTAGTAAAAATGAACATATCAAGATAATATGTGAGTGCTTCCTATAGTCTGTCATATTTATTTATTTTTTTATTGGTTGGTTCGATTTATATGCCGCCCTTCTCCGGAGACTCAGAGCAGCTTACAATGCATTAAGCAATAACCTTCATACTTTTGTATATACCTGCTTAGTAGGGATTTTGCCACCCCCCCCAAGCGGTGTTCTTTTTTATACAAAGTCAGCTTATTGCCCCCACAATCCAGGTCCTCATTTTACCTACCTCGAAAAGGATGGAAGGCTGAGTCAACCTTGAGCCTGGTGAGATTTGAACTTGTAGTAATTGCAGGCAGCTGGTGCTAGTTAACAGCACTTTAGTCTGCTGCTCCACCAAGGCTCCCTCTGGCAATCACTATGTTGTTATTGTTAACTATTATTAAAATTATTGTACTATTACTATTCAATATATTATACTCTATTGTTTTTAACCTATTAAAGGTAAAGATTTCCCTGTATAGTTGTTTCCAAATCTCAGGGGTGGTGGTCATCTTTCTGGGCCGAGGGAGCCAGTTTGTCTGAAGACAATTTCCATAGTCCTGTGGCCAGCATGATTATACACTGAGGTGCATGGAATGCTGTTACCTTCCCACAGAAGTGATACCTATTTATCTACTTGTGTTTGCATGCTTTTGAACTGCTAGGTGGACAGGAGCTGGGGCAAGGAATGGGAACTCACCGTGTTGTGCAGCGCTCAGGTCTCAAGCATGAGATGTCAGCTTTCCAAGTGACAAGCTCAGCGTCTGTAACTGCTGAGGCATTGCATCCCCATTACTTTATTAAAATTGCCTATATAGGTAGTCCTCAACTTATGACCACAATTAGAACCAGAATTTCCATTACTAAGGTGACTATTAAGTGAGTTATTCCTAATGTTATAACCTTTTTGCCAGTTTTTAAGTGAATAACTGCAGTTGTTAAGTGAATTGCATGGTCATTTAAAAAATTCAGTGTGCCTCGTTGATGTTTCTTGTCAGAAGCTGGCTGGGAAGGTAGCAGGTGGTAATCACATGATCCTGGGATACTGCAACCATTATAAATATATGCTGGTTGCCAAGCACCTGATTTTTGACTCTGTCTGTGGGATGCTATGATGGTTGCAAGTATTCGTATCGGTCATAGGTAACTTTTTTCATTTTAATTTGAACAGTTGCTAAACAAATAGTTGTTAATCCAGAACTACCTGTAAACTATGCTGTTCACTATTACTAGTATGCATCTACAATGGCCAGCATGTAGAATATATTTTACCATTTTTTACATTATGCTTTGTCTTGCTGGGCTTCTATACTTTTCTTCTCTTTTGGACCATCCATTCCTTCTGAAGAAAAAAAAAGAGTTTATTTTGTTTGGCTGCTTGTCTAATTGCTGATGGTTGCAGAGTTGCAAAACACATGTTCCCTATGCCCCCTTCCCCCACCTGTAACAGAATAACAGAGTTGAAAGGGACCTTGGAGGTCTTCTAGTCCAACCCCCTGCTCTTAGCAGGAATTCTATACCATGTCCAACCATTGGACATGGTTGTCCAATCTTTTCTTAAAAACATCCAGTGTTGGAGCATCTGCAACTTCTGGAGGCAATACGTTCCACTGATTAATTGTTCTATCAGGAAATTTCTCCTTAGTTCTAGACTGCTTCTGTCCTTTATTAGTTTTCATTCATTAATTCTTGTTCTGCCTTCAGGTGGCCTTGTCTTTGCGGCAGCCCTTTAGATATTGAAACACAGTTATCATGGCACCCCTATTCCTTCTTTTCACTAAACTAGACATACCCAATTCCTGCAACCGTTCTTCATATATTTTAGCCTCCAGTCCCCTAATCATCTTTGTTGCTCTTCTCTGCACTATTTCTAGAGTCTCAACATCTTTTTTATATCATGGCAACCAAACCCAGATGCAATATTCCCAAGTGTGGTCTTACCAAGGCATTATAAAGTGGTACTAACACTTCACATGATTTTGATTCTATCCCTCTGTTAATACAGCCTAGGGCTGCAATGGCTTTTTTGGCAGCAGTTGCACACTGTGGCTCATATATAAGTGATTTTTCACTAGAACTCCAGGATCCCTTTTGTGTATTGAACCAGGGACCATTATTCTATATCTGTGCATTTTATTTTTCTAGACAAAATCTAGAGCCTTATTTTTCTCACCACTGAATTTTATTTTAGATGGAGTCCAGTGTTCAAGTCTGCCAAGATCCTTCTGTATCTTGAGCCTATCTTCTGGAATGTTGGTTATTCCTACCAGCTTGGTATTGTCTGCAGATTTAATGAGGTTCCCCTCCTATCCCCTCGTTAAAGTTGCAGCTTTACTGGCAACTCTGCCTAGGCCAGATTTCCCAACTTTAGCGAATTTTGGACTTCAATTCCCAGAATAGCATTTTTGGTTGGAGTATTCTGGTAGTTGAAGTCCACTCATCTTAAAATGGCTAAGGAGGAAAAGAGGGCAGTACAAGTACCTGCAATTTTGTTCAAGCCACCTCTTCTTCCACATGCTGATGGCTGCAGCACTGCAGGCTTTCAAGCAGGTTTTCCAGCTGCACACAAAGCAATTGAGCTGAGACCTGCCTGAAAGATCCTGGTACCCACCTGCAATATATATATATATATATATATATATATATGTATGTATGTATGTATGTATGTATGTATGTATGTATGTATGTATATATATATGTATATGTATATGTATATGTATATGTATATGTATATGTATATATATATATATGTATATGTATATGTATATATATATATGTATGTATATATATATATGTATATGTATATGTGTATATATATATATATATATATATATATATTATTTATTTATTTATTTATTTATTTATTTATTTATTTATTTATTTATTTATTTATTTTATCATATTTGTATACCGCCCTACTCCCGGAGGACTCAGGGCGGTGAATAGCCAAGATAAAAATACAAAAAACATACAAAAGTTAAAAGCTATTAAAAAGAAATTAAATAATTTGGGCTCAAGAAACAAATTTAAAAACATCCAATTTATGTAAAACATTTAAAACCCAGTTTAAAAGGGAGAGTTAGGCCAGACCAGCCTGTTGGAATAAAAACGTTTTTAGGGCACGGCGGAAGGTGCGTAAGTCTTGGATCCTCTGTATCTCTGGGGGGAGCTCATTCCAGATGGCAGGTGCCCCCACAGAGAAGGCTCTCCCCCTGGGGGCCACCAGTCGACATTGTTTGGCCGATGGCACCCTGAGGAGCCCCTCTCTATGGGAGCGAACTGGTCGGAGAGTGGCTACTGGTGGCAGAAGGCGGTCTCGTAAGTACCCTGGTCCTGAGCCATGGAGCACTCTAAAGTGGTAACCAAAACCTTGAAGCGCACCCGGAAGACCACTGGGAGCCAGTGCAGCTCGCACAGGAGGGGGGTCACATGGGAGCGCCACGTCGCTCCCATCACCACCCGCGTGGCCGCATTCTGGACCAGTTGGAGCCTCTAGGTGCTCCTCAAGGGGAGCCCCATGTAGAGAGCATTGCAGTAGTCCAGGCGTGAGGTGACAAGGGCGTGAGTGACCGTGCATAACGAGTCCCGATCCAGAAAGGGACGCAACTGGCGAATCAGGCAAACCTGATAAAAAGTCCTCCCGGCCACGGCCATCATATGCTCTTCTAAAGACAGCCATGAGTCCAGGAGGACGCCCAAGTTGCGAACCCCATCCATGGGGGCCAACAACTCGCCCCCAATAGTCAGTGATGGCGCCAACTGACTATATCGGGACGACGGAAACCACAGCCACTCGGTCTTGGATGGGTTGAGCCTGAGTCTGTTTCTCCCCATCCAGATCTGTACGGCTTCCAGGCATTCGAGGGCATCATTGGGGTGGTCTGGGGTGGAGATGTATAGCTGGGTGTCATCAGCGTACTGATGGTACTTCACCCCAAAACCATGGATGATCTCGCCCAGTGGCTTCACATAAATGTTGAACAGAAGGGGCAAGAGGACCGATCCTTGCGGCACCCCACATACAAGGGGCCTCGGGGTCGACTTTTGCCCCCCTGTCAACACAGACTGCGACCGGTCGGAGAGAAAGGAGGAGAACCACCGTAAAACAGTGCCCCCCACCCCAAACCCTTCCAACCGGTGCAGCATGATACCATGGTCGACGGTATCAAAAGCCGCTGAGAGGTCTAATAGGACCAGGACAGAGGAGCAAAACACATGTATAGTTTTAATAGAACATATATAATCCATGATAACATTTGACAGTGATACTGGTGAACCTGCCAATCCATTTTAACCACAGAAACCAAAGTAACTATAGACAATGAAACATTTACTTTACCATTAACATTTGATTCAAAGCATTATGGAAGAGAAGGTTAGCAAAAACTAGTCCAATATCCTTTTTCCATCAATGCCTAATTATTATTTGCTGGAAAAATTGTGGAGACTTCAACATTGATGGTACTGTGCTGAAAAGGAGGGGGGAGGAACACTCCCATATTATACTGATGAATGTAAAGTTTATCAGTCTAGAGCAGTGGTTCGCAACATGGGGCCCATGCCCCACAGGGAGGGAATTTGATTTTTAATCGGGGCAATTCGAAAATGAGCTATTAACTGAATTTTTGAAAGCTCACTAATCGTTCTTATATATTTCATTTACCTATTGTTGTCTTTGTTAAAGTGCATTTCCTAGGGCCTGGTCTGAAAAGGATATCCCAGCTGGGGGGAGGAGGGAACAACTGCCAGCCAATCAAAAGTGTTCCCAGTAAGGATCATGGAACTGGCAGAGTCTCCTGTGGGCTTTGCTGCTGGGTGGTTGCAGGGGGAGCGGCTCTGTGGGGAGACAGTGGATGGCTGCTGGGGGAAGCCCAGCAGTGAGGATACAGAACCAGGACCCAGGTTTAAGTAAGAAATTGTTAGATTTACAGTTATTTTTAGTCTGTGTTTTCCCAGGCCGTGTTTTACAAGACTTTTCCTCTCAGAGCAATCTGGGGCTGGGCCACGCTTGCCATGCCTGTGTGATTCACCTCCACCTACTGAACTACCAAAGCATTTCCCCACTAAGCTGCAGGTTCAAACTGAGTGGGCGAGTAGGGGGGGTCATAGGTTACAACCCCCCTTTTGTTCATGACAATCTTATTATTCATAAATTAAGCTAAGAATGTTTTTTTTTAAATTTTCTTCTTTCTGCACCATCTTCTTTTAATAGTTGTTTCTTATTATCATGGCATAGCTTTGTGATGAGACAGAAACTAAATACCCAAATTCAACCTACTTTGCAAGAAAATTGCTGTTACCATTCCAATCTTCATATTTAGTTGAATGTGGCTTTAGTGCTGTAAATGATTTGCTACTGAAGAAAAGAAATCGACTGGATATCACTGAATGAGGAGACTTGAGAATGAAGCTGACTAAACTGGAGCCTAATATAAAATCTCTCTGCAGCAGGCATCAAGCACAAGGATCTCACTAACTTAAGTAGACTAAAGCTGCAATCCTACATTTTCCTGGGAGTAAGTCCCATTGAAGACAATGGTACTTACTTCTGAGTAGACATGCATAGGATTGTGTTGTAAATATGATCTTGAGGTGAGTTCAGATTGTATTTTGAATTTGTTAGGTACCTTTATTTTAATATGTATAGTAATTAATATGATCAAAGTATTACAGAAAAAGTTTTCATTAAAATTATTTTATATTTACGCATTTCAGTTATTATATGTTTTGAAACTTCATTTGCTGTTTTTTCATATCCCTTCATATATTATTTTTAAGTTCCTCAGTACTTCTACTGTCTTTCATTCTTTTATTTTTCTCTTTCATGGATGCCATGTTCTTTGAAACCATGTTTAAACCAAGTTAATGGCCTTTTAGGCTTCCTCCGCGTGAGTAGGAGTTCACTTTTTGAATAGTAAGAATTATATGGAGGGCATCAGGATTTTAGAGATGTTTAGGTGGGGCATGGCCCAAAAAAGGTTGGGAACCACTGGTCTAGAGCAAATGTGGAGCATCCCTAATGACTTTTTGCAAGGCTCATCATGGGGAATGCTGGAAGTTGCCCTTTAGCAATATCAGAAGAGCAACAGATTTCTCAACCCACATCCAACAGGTGTTTATAATTACCTCATTATCCAACAAAAGCTGTAGCAGCTTCCATCTGGATCCCAGCTTTGGAATGCTTACATATGTTAATTTCTTCCAAATATTTTCTAAGCTTTACTCTAATCCTGTATCCACAATGGTTGAGTAATAAATGCAAATACATTTGTGGATAGTACCATTTATAGATATAGCCACCATGACTGTGCTTAGCAACTATAGTGCAATTGTTTTGGTCATAAGTTACATCAGTTACTGAAATTATGCAGATAAATTACATGCTACTCAAAATGTTTTAATTACAGCTGGCCCAGGAAGTACTCTAGTTGTTAAAAAGGATCATTGTCACCTATGTTCCTGGCAGAGGCACTATACTTCTAAACAGTTACATGATCTACAAAGTGTATCCTGTAACTTTAAGATTCCTTCACCCAGAGCATTTATGAGCGACAAGGTGGCAATTTTCACCAGAGTAATCCTTTTCTTCTTGCACTCACTTTCATTGTTAATAAGCTTGCCTTTGCATAGTGCACAGAAGGCAGATAGATGTTTCTTCTCCCCCTCACACACACAATGGTAAAATATGGGGCTACCAGAGAAGGAAACTTGCAGGAAATTTAGGACAAATAAAGTTAATTTCTTAATCTGTAGAATTTCCTCCACAAGATATAATAAAAAGTCCTATTTTAAAAAGAGACAAATTTATAAGCAGGGTTCTCTTAGTACATTAAGCCATAGTGTGTTTTATTTGTCTTATTTTTCAGCAACAAACACTATTTACAAACTTTGTTTTAAACATAGCTTGTCAATAAGTTTAAAATTATAATTCTGTAGTGTTTATGCTCTGCCCATTTTTCATGTACTAGTAGAAAACAGGAATTCTTTTTAAAACTCAATTATATCACTCATATGTTACAACTCTAATAAAGAGTTGGTTTACTGCCAAGTCAAGCCTTGCTCAATCAGTTGTATTTTTTGAGACATTGGACATCAACTCCCAAACTTCCCAAGTTTTATGGGAGTCAAAGTCCAACTTACTCAGACAGCACTATTACTGGAAAACAGATACTGGGGTAGATAGATGTTGGTCTGGTCCAGCAGGCTCTTGTTATGTTCACTCTGGCTGACCCATCCATTTGCTGAACCTTCTCCTTCCAAGAGGCAGATGCATGAATCCTGTCTTCCTTTGCACCTCTTCACCCTGCCCTGCCTATTCTTGTTAACAACATATTCTACATAGCATTACTTTGTCATTACATTCCTGATCTAAGAAATGGGCAAAGGGATAATTTAACTGTAGCTATATTTTTTAAACTTACCACATTATCCACTTGCCAGCCATTTCTATTGTATTGCATTTCTGTTGAGATATTTGTAGCCTCAATACTCACTCACACAACTCACACTATTGTTTAGATTCATTTATTCACACACTGTCCTTTAAGCTTGAGCTCAAGAAGCTTTTTTTATTTATATAGTTCTTTTTGCCCTACTTTAAGATAAAACAAACATAATTAAGAGAAAGTGCTGTTGTTTGACCAAAAATGTAAACTCTTCCCTTTCTCTCGTTTTAAGACTAGTGTAATACAAATATTATTAAGACAAATAAAAGTGTCTGGGAAATGGGGGTAGGAGAGGTCTTTCTCTTTTTCAGTTTCACTTTCCCCCCAACTGATGGGTATTTATTGTTAAGACTTTCAGAACCACCCTCACTTCCATTCCCCATGAATATTTCATGGGATAACTAAAACAAGGATTTATCTTTAAAGTTTAACCCAATCATTCCCAGTCTAGTGCCCTCTATAACTATTGGTCTACAGGTTTAAAAATTCCACCCAGAAAGAATGGAGCTGTAATCTAGTGAACATGGAAGAGATCAAGTTGGTATTTTAAAACATATGAAGTAAAAGAAACTGCTTGAGACTAGCTAGCAGAAGGTTAACCTGAATTAAAGGTTTTTAACAGTTAACTGGCTTTTGGTGGGAAAGGTCTATGAACTTGACAGTGGTTAAAATTGAAGCAAGAGGGTTTTTGTCCCATAAGTATAAAAAGCAATGGAAGATTACAATGGATTGTGCATATTTGTAAGGAAAGACTATTGAGTTGTCCAGGAACAACTCACATTTTTTTGGCACCAAAGGCAAAAGAAAACAATAGTGCTGAATGAGGGATTAAATAATAATCAGTTGCTGCTCTTTAATGGTATTCTAAGGAGAGTCAGTTTGTGATTAAAGCACCAGATTAGAAACCAGGAAATTTCTGCCTTAGAGATAAAGCCAATTGGGTGACTTTGGGTTAGTTCTCTCTAACTCCAGGAAGAAGGTAACAGAAAACCACTTCCAAAAATCTTGTCAAAAAAACTGGACAGACTAATCCTAGTAGTTGACATGAGTCAATGCTGTCTCAAAGATATGCTCATGAGCACCCACACAATATCTGTTGCTCAATCTAAGCTCCTTTACCCTGCTTTTTTAAAAGTTGGGCTGGTTTGAAGTATACGGTAGTTAACAGGGTTGATCTTGGTTTCAATGTTATATTAACTTATCCCTTTTCTTTGTAGGGGACTGAACATGGAAGTACAAGAATGTGCTGAAAAGAGGGTTGCATTAAATTTCAGAAATAAATGAAGTAGTTTCTAAAATACATTATACAACTACTACAGTTTTGCTATTGCTTAAAAAACGAGCAATTTTCGAAGTAAATTCTCAGAAACATGAAGGCAAATTATCTGTTGTGTAATCTAAGTAAAGAAGTCCTATGTTAGGGAAGTAGGCTGATGAAAAACCTGTAGCAGTAGTAGTAGTAGTAGAAGTAGCAGCAGCAGCAGCAGCAGCAGCAGAGCAGCAACAGGCCTTCTAGAGATGTTTTTACAGTTCCTTCTTAATATGATGACAATGTTGCCTGTAATATCCTGAATAAAAATGACTGCCTAATAGCACTCCCTTATTTATCCCCACACTTGCTATTTGGGGTCTGTTTGCCCTGGGTATGTTCCATTGAACGATCCAGCAGATGTAACCCAAGAACACAGTACTGTGGTTTCAGGAAGGCATCTTTGTGCCCTATTGAGTCAAGGATGGTAGATAACAGAGTAAAGGGAAATAAAAGAAATAGAAAGAACCTTTTTTGATGACTAATTGCAACTCCAATTTAGGAAAGAACAATATGGCAGAATATATGTTTGTTCAACTGCCTCTTTGAAATTTAATTCCTTTTTCTTACTATATAGAGTCTGATCCTTTGGCAGCCCATTGTAATTTGTCCCATTGCAAACCCTCCCCTCTAAATTAATCTCTTAATTACTAGTTTTTAAGCACAACAACAGATCAGACTTCTGGCCCATGGCCTTATAATGGCAGAATTTCCATGGTTCTGCTCATGACAGAACTTTCAAGTTAAATATGCTGAGATGAAGTAAAGAAAGGCATGTAGCAAACAAGAATTGCTTGGGTGGATGAGATGATCACACTTGGGTCACAAGACGTTTGTTGGGCAATTCTGAATTGCCTGTAGGCACCATACCATCTAGAAATTCTGAATTGGGTACAATAAGTTCTTTGTCCCCATGTTTCTCTCTATGTAGAGCTTTCTCATGGATATGAGCTTTACTTTGGATGGCAGCAAGTTCTGGGGATGGTGGTGGGGTATATGGGCATGTTGTAATGTGGGTGTATTGACCTTGATCCTCACAATCAGTTTCTCGGTGATAAAAGTAGCTGAAGTTGGAGACAATGACAGGTACTGGAAGCGAGATAGTGAGTACTCCAGCAATGGCACAAAGAGACCCCACAATTTTGCCTCCAATTGTTTCAGGGAACATGTCACCATATCCCACAGTCGTCATGGTAACCACAGCCCACCAGAAGGCAGCAGGGATGCTGGAGAAATTTGACCGATCATGATCAGCTTCTGCAAAATAGACAGCACTGGAGAACAAGATGACTCCAATGAAGAGGAAGAAGATGAGCAAGCCCAGTTCCCTCATGCTGGCTTTAAGTGTCTGACCTAGGATTTGCAATCCTTTGGAGTGTCTGGAGAGTTTGAAGATTCTAAAGACTCTTACCAACCGGATGACTCTGAGAATAGCCAATGACATGGCAGGTTGGCTTACCCCACGCTGGCGTGCAAACTCTGTACCAAGGGCAACAAAGTAAGGGATGATGGCTATAAAATCAATCATGTTCATGATATTCTTGAAGAAAGCTGGCTTACTTGGGCAGGCTATGAATCGCACCAGGAGTTCAAAGGAGAACCAACAGATGCAAATGGTTTCCACAATGAAGAAAGGATCTTCAGAATGAGACTTTGGTGGCATTGTATGCGGCACACTGCTATTCAAATGATGGTGGACAAGCTGTGGAAAGGAAGAAAGGAAAACAGAATGACTTGATTAATGTGACAATTAATCTGAAGGAGGTGAAAAATGAGTGTTATAGTACAAAACATTGATTTCAATTAGAAGAGATGGGCTAAATTGGTGAGCATATTAAAGCAGTTTTTTTTCAAACTGGCAACTTAAGATGTGTGAACTTCAATTCCCAGAATTCAGGGAATTCAAATCCAGAAATCTTGAAGTTGCAAAGTCTGAAAAACGTTACTAGAGATTACAATGGAAACACACTCAGAAGGCTCTACAAATGAAATGGCTAGGCCACCATATACTCTTCCTGAAAATATCAGTATTCTTCCAAAGACAGATATGTTGTGTGCCCATATATTGAAGTATTCACAACTGTCACATTATCATCATAAACACTGCCCTTGAATTATATTTCCATTGTACAGGTAGTCCTTGATTTATGACAACTGAGCCCAAAATTTATGTTGCTAAGTTAATTTGTTAAGTGAGTTTTGACCCATTTTACAACCTTTCTTGCCACAGTTCTTAAGTGAATCATTGCAATTGTTAAGTTAATAACATGGTTGTTAAGTGAATCTGGCTTCCCCATTGATTCTGCTTGTCAGAAGGTCTCAAAAAGTGATCATGTGATCTCAGAGCACTGCAACTGTCATAAATATGAATCATTTGCCAAGTATCTGAATTTTGATTACATGACCATGAGGATGCTGCAATTTTTTTAAGTATGAAAAATGGTCGTAAGTCACTTTTTTCAGTGCTGTTGTAACTTTCAACAATCACTAAACAAAGTGTTGTAAGTTGAGGACTACATGTAGCAATTTTCCTAGTTCATTCTCACTAGCAATGCCTGCCCTTTGGTTAGACAATAAAATTAATTTATTGTTACTATGCTCACTGATTTTTCCCCAATTTAGTGTGCCATGATAGGACTGCTTTCTTTATCACTCCCAGCTGCAGTTGACAGAAGCAGCCAATTTTACTCCATCTGATAACCTTTCTTGCCACAGTTGTTAAGTGAATCACAATAGTTGTTAAGTTAGTAACATGGTTAAGTGAATCTGTCATATGCTATAGAAATAAGAACAAACAAGAACAAACAAGAACAATAATAATAGAATCTGGTTTCCTCACTGACTTTGCTTGTCAGAAGGTCATAAAAGTGATCCTGGAGTCATTGAAACCATCATAAATTCATGCCAGTTGCCAAGAATCTGACTTTTGATCATGTGACAATGGGGATGCTACAATAGTAGTGTGAAAAATGGTTGTAAGTTACTTTTTTCAGTGCCGTAACTTTGAACGATTACTAATTGAATTGTAAATAGAGGACTATCTGTATTTCAGCGTGCCTAAATATCTTGCTATTATCAAGGACGGGGGACTGAAATGAAGTCTTTCAAGCATGTACCAAACTTTATTTGATGTTTGACAGCCATCTGATATGATTTCTGCAGAAATTAAAAAGCAATCTAATTGTTCTATCAAGGGAGATGTTCAGAGCTCCATTCTGCACAATGAACAAGAGAATGCCCAAATAAAACAGGACCAGTGTACAGTATTGTATTTTCAAAATAAACGGAATATAATATGCTTCAACATTTAAAGAGGGAGGACCCAGAACAACTATCAAATCACCACCACTTCAAACTCTTTCTATTCCCCCATCCAGAGCTATCCCAGACAAATACCCCTATTTCCATCACCCTGCCACATTGATCCTGCATCTAAAGATGAAACCAGGATAGCACAATATTTACATCTCTGACAGAAGGGCTAGCTGAGCTTTGCCATATTGTATTCTCTTCATGGCTGTTCAGAGTTCTGGCTCAGGCAACAAGGTGAAAGGATGGAGGGTAGGTTAGACATAAAAAAAAAACCTTTCATTTACCAGAATGGATTCTTGGCCATTGTTGCATACAATATGGTTAGTCTCCTGGCAAAAAGTCTGAATTGTGAAACAGTTCTGCCATTAACTTTAGGAGTAGCCTATATGAACCTGTCTCTTTCCCATCTGCTATGTGGGTGGTGGGGGTAATCATGTATGACTATTATCAAATTTATAACTAAATCATGCATATGCAACATTCTGAATCCTGTAAAATGCTATACAAATATTAAATAATATTTTTCACTCTATTCACATAAGTTACATATTCTTGTGAGATAGGAAGAAAAAATAATATGAAAACCGATATGCTCCAAACTTAATTCAAGACAACAGACGAGGGGGAGGGGGGGATTTGGAAATGGATGGTAGAGAATATGGGATACTATGTTGGTCCAGTTATTTGCAGAAGGAATCAAATTAAAGTGTGCCTAAAGGCTGGAGAAGAGCAGAATGTCAAGGTCAGATGTTTCTCCCATCTCTGTCCTCTGGTCAGCTCTGATTTCTTGCCTCTCTAATTTTGACTTCTGTAGTGGGGCCTGCTTGTTCTGCAAAGGAGGAAAGTACCTGTTAGTTGTCTGGAATTTCTAAGAACAACATGGACTTGGAAAAACCCCAGGACTGGGTCTGTCTGTCTGATCTGTTTCTAAAACATGTTGAGAATATTTGTTCAGCACCTCTGCATGTTCATATTCCTGGGCTCAGGATATAAACAAAAGTATTTTTACTTCTTTGCATTTTCCACACGGTCTTTTTTGTTTCATTAGTATTCCCTTCAGGGAGTTCATAGCAAATCCACTGACCTGTCATACAAGCTCTGTTTATTTATTTATTTAGCTCTAGCAAAGGAACTACATTAATTGCCTTCAGTCCGCTCTCTATAGCTCATATCATATTATATCCTATTTTCTATTTAGATGTTTATGTAATCAAATTGGCATCATCTATTTAGTAGAGGGAGGTATCAGCAGACTTAGGAAAATGCCAGGCCTTGCAGAAATGCACAAAATCTTCTGTGGGCTGGTGGTGGTCAGAGTCCCCAAGAGTCAGATAGCTCCAATTAGAACTGCACATGTTAAAATGGGGGAAATGTAAAATTCAAAATGCAGGAATGGAATGACACATGCTAGAAAAGAGTGCAATTGCCTGGCATTCTGAACAAGAAAATTCCACACTGCAATATATTCTTACTTTTCATGTCACACAAACATATTTTACATAGTACTTCAAAACTCCCATATTTATTAATTTCTGTGCTATACATTTTTACTTTTTGTAGATGATTATTTCTGCCTCCTCTGATCTTTAAAATATATTCCAATATATACTATATAGGCTATATAGTATATATTGGGATAGATCTACTAACTGTAGATCCAACTACTGTACAACTATTTTATCCCTCTTTTTAAATCTGCTTTAGTTATAAGGGACTATGGATGCATTCTTAATTTCTATCTTCTATACATTCAAAAAAAAAACCCCTGCAAGCTAAACTTGAAATAAATTATACAGATTTTTATTTATTTGTATCCCACCTTTATTATTTTTACAAATGATTCAAGACACTGAACACTTCCACAATTCAAGAATATAAGCAAGAGAGAGAGAAAAAAATATTTTTAAATTTTTAAATTTCAAATAGATTAGCTACTTTTTAAAAAAACCATTTATAGTGAACAAAATCTTGAACTCATCACTGTTATTTTAAAATGTTACCACTGAAAACAGGCAATTTATTTTGCTGGAAAAATCAGCCACACTCTGAGCAGGATTAGGATTATTATGCAGAGGGTTCATTCTCACAGGTAGACAAATGTGCTACCCTCCCCTCTTTGATGGAAAAGATATTGAAATAACTTATGCTGACCCACAACCTAGCATTACTGCACAAAGGCCAGGCACTGAAATGTAATAAGAGGTCAAGTTACCAGTGGGCGGTTTTTCAGTTGTCTTTCTCCCTTTCTGCATTTCTTATGAAAACCAGCGCCTCATTTTTCTGCTGAACATGTGCTGGAGAAGGGCAGCTTGGAGGTGGGGACCATGTGGAGCAACAGTCAGTGGCTTCAAACAGAGGGAGCAACAGGGTGATCAAAGCCCCATCTCTGTTTAATACAAATCACATAGATCGCACACACATGTGCTGAATTTCAATGGCCTGCCGGTCATTTTGAAGCCACTCATCATCACTGTGGATGTTCCTGGTTGGGTGTTCAAGATGATGAGGATGACTATTATTACTATTATTATTAATCATCACATAGTCAGCCAGCTGTTCAGACTGGATTTGGCATTTTTGTCTATCAAGTCTTTACCAAGTACCTGGATGCTTGACAATGTTACAGATATTGTCGCAGGATGAAGCTGTTCCAAGTAAAGCCTAACCTGCAATTGACTGATGGCAAATTTGTCAATGCCTATGGTGTTCAAACGGTGCTCCAGTTGTTTTGAGATTGCTCCCAAGGTGCCTATTACTACCTTGGAACTACCCTTGCTTGCCTTTGCCATAGTGGTTCTATTTCTATTTATAGGTCTTTGTATTTTGTTATCTTCTCCAGTTCTTTCTCTTCTATTTTGCTGTCTCCAGGCAGAGCCACATCCACCATCCAGACTATTATAATTATATAATATAATAATATTAATTTAATCTTCAATTCGATTGACAATCTGAGATTGGTAAAAACTTAATATTTCAAGTTCTAACCAAGAACCTAAAAGCTGTTAAGGTAATGTCTGACTATATAGGAAGTTCTGAGTCAGGTGTTTTTTTGCAAAGTCAGAATATTCAGGTCTGATAAATTCAAAATGTCCATGTATCTAGGCAAACCTTTGGGTATTGCTTCAAAGGCTCCTATTACTATTAGTACAACCATTGATTTCTTCCTCCACAATTGTTCAACTTCATTTTGCAGATTGTAGTATTTTGGGTTTTTTTTTCTAGTTGTTTCTCTTCAATTTGTGCATCATCTGGTTTTGCAATATGAATGAACAGACTTTTTTTTTTTTTCCACAATAGTGATGTCAGGCATGTTGTGGGCCAGATGTCTATTTGGATTCCAAAGTCCCACAAGATCTTGATCTGTTCATTTTCAAGAACTTTTATCAATTT